TAAAATATGTACTTTACTTCGTAATTGTTGAAATATTTTTCCTATTTTCTAAAATTGTTCATAAATAAATTAGCGAAAGAAGCCAGCCTTGAACACCTAACGGCCTCAACACACTTTTCGCAGGCGCACCTTTTTCACATAAAAAATTAATACAGGTTTATTGAAAAATAATTTGGTTTAGCTAGTTTTCTAATTTATTTGTCGTTCATATTTAAAATATTTACAAAAGGACCATGGAATTATTTCCGGATTCTTTTTACACCAGGACTTATTCGCAGATTGTTCGGCTGGAATACAGTGTTGAAAGTAAGTCGCCCGTTCAAATTTCTCAAATAAATTAGTTGAATTGAAGCACAAACAGCAGTGATCTGAACTGCATTAAGCATGTGAAAAAAATTCGAAATTTTTATTATTTTTTTTTGTAGTTGGGACAAAAGTTGCGCTATTGAAATAACTATGCTAAATGATTTGTAAGAAAATACAAAATTATATTTTTATCGCTGTTAAACGCTCACTTTTTGTCCGCGGTTTTTTCTGTCCGGTCTTACACAATATATTGCAGAAAATAAGTTTAAAATTTGTCTCAAAAATTGCTTACACGAAATGCGTAATTGATCTGGTATTTCTCGATTTACCCGAAGGAACGTATTTAAACTATGTTCGCTGTGTAGGTCCTCGCAATTTTACTGATGATGTAAATTCTACATAGTAACACGTATTTTAAAGTCAGATAAAAATTTTTTATTTTGCTACACTGCGTAAGTACAGCAACAGTAAGCAAGCTTTGTAAGCAAAGAGCAGATCAGCTGAATAGTAATGAAGCAGTTTTATGAATTTTTAGACTTAAAAGAAATATTTGTTGGCACACACCATTTAAAGACTTTTTATACAGAACCCCTAATTGAGGATTTGCACAGCACAACTGTACCCAACTTTATTCCAGGACAAATTCACCTTTTAAATAAGTTTTTATCATTATATTAAAACAAACTTCGATGTAAAACCGATGAATTTTTAGATGTATTTTACGTAAAAGGAAACCAGCGAATTAATCGCAAAATGTTTTTTGGTAACGTTAAATCATCCTGAAACTTCAAATCTAAAATACTACTTGTTTTCTGCAAATTTTAACTGTATACGCCGGTTAGTCTCAAAACTGTTGAAAGGAGGAGGAATTTCTTTAAAGGAGTTGGAAACAACTTTCTAAACGCGTAATCAATAAGTCCTTTGAGTAAAACATTCACAAGCCTCTTTGTGAATCTCAACAGATTTTAATTAATTATCAAATACGAAATAAGAGCAATTAACTATTAACTAGATGTTATGGTTTGAAACATTCCTTGTATTAATTAATTAAACATACGGAACGTGTCTAGTTACTTAAAACTCACCATAAATATTTATTTGATTTAAATAGACAATTTTTTTATAGTTCCTATATGTTTGCCTCCCGACAATGCTGACTACACGAAACAAATGGCAACTGTAACAGGATGGGGAAGGCTTAAATATGGAGGAGGCGTACCATCAGTACTGCAAGAAGTTCAGGTAGAAATAAAGATTTACCATAAAATGATTGCTATTTGAAACTGATAGTAAATTCTCTTCCAAGTCGTATATGTGCTTCTGTAAGCAATTTGAAAATAGTTCAATCAAAAATTATAAATAGTAATTCAAGTCAGATAGTCAACCATCTTTTGCGAAATCTAAACCCGGCAGAGACGTCTAATCCTTTCTTATGACATTTCAGTTCTATTCTTAGACTAAAACTATGATATTGGAAAAATATATTGCAACAACAAAGATTCCATAAGAATGGCATTTTCTAAAATTAGAAATTTGTATGGAACTTCAACTCACATTAAACCGTTCGTGTACATTTTAGGTGCCCATTATGGAAAATCATGTTTGTCAGGATATGTTCAGAACTGCTGGACATTCTAAAGTCATACTGGATTCATTTTTGTGCGCTGGATATGCAAATGGACAGAAAGATGCATGTGAGGTAAGGAAAACACGCAAAATGTTTACTTTATAACACCGTACCTTAGATTGAACAATAAAATTAATTGAAAATTGATAAACTGTTAAAAATAAAGTGTAAAAATTTGTAGCGAAACATTCAAATTGACCAATGACTCAGCTAAATTGATCAACATAAAATCTCATTGATCAAAGGTTCATTGTAAGAAAATTAGGAAATTGTCAGACCCTTATCAGAACTAATGTATAAATAATGGATTTAAATTTAGCAAGGGTAACGGCTAAATTTGTTAGACCTTGTTAGGTAAAAAACTCATACTCTAGTCCAGTCGCGCATTTCAAAGGTTAAAAGGTGTGTTTATCCAAAGGCAAAGCAGATGTTTTATTTTAAATTCCAAGTCAATTGGTAAAAAGTCTGAAATAAATGAAGTCTGGTGAACCAGACATTTAGATCACAAGCTTTGAAGCGACCAAAATATCAGAATCAATAAAATATTTGAAAATTTCGCTTTGAACGCGATGATTTCATACATTGCTAGAAGAACGTGTCAAAGTAAATTTATTTTGGGCACAAAATTAACTTAATCACGTTAATTCTGGGATCAATTAACTTTGCTCATCAAATTTGTACTACTTAAGGTAATCCCTATTGTTTAGAGGGATCATTTTATATTATACAGATAGCGAATAGAACTTTAAATATAATTTTAACTTCAGTTATTTGCTAGCTCGGAGTCTTGCTGTAATATAAAATATACTTTTTGCCCTTATCGTATTCATTATCCAGGCCTACTTGAAAACCAGAAAATCTTCAGATCTGTATTGCAAGTTCAATGCCTTTAGACAAATACATATATCGAGGGCGAATGCAGATTTACAAATATAATAAAAATTAATCGTATTTTATATTCTATCTTATATATATGTATTCTTAACTTCTCAAGATACGCTACAAAGACTACTTAAAGCTCTTAGTAAGGACATCGTACCTAAAATTAAATGAAGCAAATTTGCAGCAAAACTATCAAAAATTAATAAATTGTCGCTTTTTTCACAGGGTGACTCTGGAGGACCTCTTGTGGTCCAAAGACCTGACGGAAGATACGAATTAGCCGGAACGGTTTCCCATGGAATCAAATGCGCGGCTCCCTATTTGCCCGGGGTTTACATGAGAACAACATACTATAAACCGTGGATAACTAGCATAACAGGAATAGAATAATTTAAAAGATAATTCTCGAGATTCGTAAAACTATGTTGACAGATTTTGGACAATTTTTTGATCTTACAGATTACGAAGAAAAGTTCAGATGTAATGGTTGAACTGTATTCGAAATATGTATTGCAGATGAAAACATGGCTCTGGAAAATTGCCTTGTCTAGTCAATAATGTATTTGCAAAATCTGCCAAAATATACGAATTTTAGGTACTTAAAATGCAGAACTTTCTATGATGTACAGTTTTCAATTGTTAAAAGCTTTTGGTTCAATTCAATTCGAGCATTACATTTGCTTTTACATATAAAAATCTTCCACAATCATCATTTTGGTATTCTGAAATTCAAAATATATTTTCCTCAAGTTAATTTTCAGCGTAAGCGTTTGATGTACTCAAATGAAAATTAAATGAATGGTATCATAATGTGCCACTTGGAAAATGAAGAACTGAAAGTTAAAGGCGATAAACAACAACGATTGAAAACAAACTAAAAAAATTACGTTCAATTGAATATACTGTCTTCTATTTGCCATGAACCTTTTGAATGTTCAAAGCAATCGCGACGAAAGTGTAACCATTACTAAAGTGCATCTGATTGTATTTTAGATGGGTCTCGCTCTCGTTACTCTCAATTTTACCGTCCTACTTATCATTGTGCTAGTACTTTCAAACTTACAAAAGAATGCAATAACAAGCACTGATCCTCTTCAAATCGACATAAATCATAAAACTAATGTTTTCATGTCATGTACCGATCAATATCTGGCGATAGGTTTTCAAAATCGAAAGGTGTTTCCCTCAACTTTAACTGGATGAACTTTGACGAAAGACTTAATTATATTTTAATGTATATGAAAGAAGGATTTATATCTTCTTTAAAGGTATTTTTGATAATACATAGACGATATAGACCTTACATCGTATTTAAATATAGAATTATATTGTAATAAATGTAAATTATTAATTTATTTATTTAACTTATTTCCTCTACAGTAGATATAAGCAATAAAGTGTGTATAATTTAAGAAAATTTGGTTTTAATTACATTTTCATGTCAAGAGCAAACAGGGAAGTTATGGGGAAACCAGATCATTTAAACTGATGTGATTGCTTTACACTTAACGTGCTTGGACATTTTCAAATGCTACCACTGTGGTATATGCATTAGGATCAGCTTAAAAATATGAGTTAGCTGAACATTTTCAAACCTAAAACCGAAAATGCGTTATTTTATTGATAAGAAAAAGTTAGCTGGCATTTTCAGAACATTTTGGTTTGAAAGATTTAATTTGGTTTAGCCTACACCAAAGCGGATTAGTTTAATTTCAGTTTGAAACAACGAGTTTCCATACATGTTATAATTTGTTTAAATGGCCGAGCAAAAGTTGAGATTAATTTTTTGGCCAGAATATGAGTTTTCGTTCTTTGCATTTGGATGCGCCAAATGGGAAGACCCCTATCGCCCACGTCTCCTATTCTCCAGATCCCTACGAACGTAGCCGATTTAATCCGAGTGGCCACCATATAACAAGCCAGTTTTATGGATCGGCGTGAAAACTGCACTGGAAAGCCTTGAATTGAGTTTGCAGTGTTTCCCTGGTAAATTTGAGGAAAACGGTGTAGTGTTGTGTGTGAGAAGGACAGGCAGACAGTCTTTGTTAACGGGGTTTCATTCAGTAGCATTTGGGTTTCAGTTGAGTGAAGGAGGTGTTGTGTAGAGGTAGGTCATTTCAGCTTCTAGACGATTGTTTTGAGTACATTACCTGCTATAGACGATTTTTGAGTACACATTTCAATTTATCGGCCGGACAGGTAAAATAAATATTTGTTGCTTTTGATTTTAGAAATCAAATAAATAATCCATGATAGGAGTTAGAGTTGCTAGACTCTTTCTATTTCTACGCAATTTAAATTTCCCAGAAAGTAACAACGAATAATTAAGGTATCTTTAGTTATTTGCTCTTTGCAGATTTTCAAAATCTATTTATTTGCTTAACAAATATTTAGGTACTGGTCTCAATTCTTACGTTATTACTGTGAGAAATCATGGAAATGGTCTAACTGCAGAATCAGCTGATGAAATAATTTAAATCTGTATAGGAATCAGGAAGTTTGTAGATTGGTTCGTTTCAGTACACCTAGTTGTAACAAAATGTTAACATTATAATTATCGAGTGAAATCTTCATAGTTTAGCAGTCGCTTTGGATACTTTCCAAATTCTTACTCTAAAATGCACTCGAAACGGAATTTAGTTCAAATTAGAATCATGTTATTTCCATTTTACAATCGTACTTCATAATTCGAAATTCGCTTATTTTTGTAAAAATTGGGGCTAATTAATAAGGGTTTCAGAGAAGAACTGTGTTTAGATTTTATACAGACATTTTCCTTGCATAAATGCGTGCTTTGTTAGATCTGCTAACAATCTAATTTGTTTCACATACAGATCATAAATTGTAATTTTATACGATGATATGATGGTATGCATATCATATCCCGTTGAATTTTATAAGTTTTATTATTTTTTATGCCGAAACACATAATTAAATGCCCGCCCTACCTTTAGCGAAAGCTAGACGACCACAAAATGAAGCATTAAAATAGATTTCTTGGATACGCTGAAAGATCTGGTTGGAAAAACAACCCTAATGTATTAAATTTCTCAAAAGCGGGCTTAATTATTGCCTCAGTTTCCAAGGATTTTACGTAAAAGATAGAATATATACATATAGGATATATATATGCACATATAGAATAGGCAATCGAATTCTGCCCAATTTTGCCCATTTAACGGATTACGTATTTTAAAAAATGTAGAAGTTACCCATACAAGACTCAGAAATGGCCACCCTGTATATCTGTGTGAACGCGAATGTTTCAAGGCGGAGTTTTCAAACTGATGCCTCTGTTTAACAACAATTTCAATTTAAGAAAACTTACAAAAGTATGCATTTCAATCAACAAATAATTGAATGTCGATTTGCAACTGGCTCAATAGTAAAGAAAAGCATGTAACAAAAATGAAGTAAAAAACAGTAGTCACGAGAGTAAAGTACGCAAATTTGTAGACAGATAAGTGGTAAACGTTGTCGCCTGTCGTCTCGTAGCTTTTACTATAGACCTGCCTTGATGTCTTGAGACCGATTTCCTTAAACGTCCCCTATTGTTGTCCTTTCTCTAATTCGTTTCCCAGTAATGTTTTCTTCCTTTAACATTTACTGGTGACCTTTGCCATTTCATGAGCAAATTGAAACATTAAAAGGCCTTAAGCATTTTCTATGTTGCGCAATTTCTAGTGAAAAGTAAATAGAAATGTTCCACACAGATAGCTTTTGGCTACATATTTCGGCATATAAATATATTAAATCTTAATAAGATAAATATCTACTAAAAATGCCTATCACATCGACATGATTTTTCGATTAATCGATATAGGTACTGTATATCACTGCGACATGTTTTGCATTTTAATTCAACCAATATCAGCTTTTCAAGCTCAAGCTCAAGCTCAAAGAAGAAATAAAAAAATTGCACAATTGCATTGAGACACGCAAAGTCGCAATTAACTCCAGGCAGCAAAAAATAAAGCTGCAAACACAAGTACCAGAAAACATAAAACTAAGGGAAGGAAATAAACCACTGTTAAAATGAGTTTAATTGAGCAATTCATTTGCAGAATAAAGGTGGCTCTCTTACAACCGGAAGTAACTTGGTATATGAAAAAATGCAACACTTTTAAAAGCTATACAGGTTTTCTATGTAAAACTGAACATTTTTCGTGTTGTTGTGAGCTGAATCTGACCAAATAGTATACAAAACTAAATCAATATGATATCCGTCATATGAATCAGTAAAATAAATCCGGAAAAAAAGCAAATCAATTAATTATCAAGCGTTACTGAGAAAAAGTGCCAGTAATAATTTCAATAAAGAGATTTAACAAAACAATTTTCCTATCTATTTTGCTGATTGCACTTTGAATTGAAACATTTGTACAATTTTGGATGTACATATTCTGCTAGTAACTACATTTTTGCCTGACATTTGAATGATTCAGGAAGGGAACATCCATTTCTCATTCGCTCATGGAAATTCGATGGGCAGATGCCATCACAAGTCCCGAAATAAATGGTTTTTACTCTCATAAATATGGTAGATTCCGTAATTGGCTATTTTATCTGAAATCCCTAGGAGATACTTTTTTGATACATAAATTGTTGCGTAGCCTGGAAACATTCGAATGGATAACGAGAATTCTATTTCCGCATCACGCCATTATGCCAGTTGAATTATTGATTTAGTTTTAACTAAGCTAAAAGCTTTTTCCACATTGTTATAAAGTAATATTTTTCTTTGTCAGTTTCAATTAAAAGCGAGCCTAGGTTCGTTTAGAAGTGCCGCAAAATTACCTTCATTATTCCCAAAGGAATAGACCAACAAAATATGTGGGTTGCACTATGTAACTGTGTTTAAACACGTGGACCTGGTAGATATGTTTAATTGTTTAATTAACTGGATTTACTGCCGGTTGAGCGAGGACGCTCACGTTAGATTTAATCAGAATATGTAGGGTTTATTTTTGTTCTTTTACAGTTGTAAACCGCACCTATTTGTTAAAATTACATGCATCCAGTAAACCGTTTGAAGACTCGGATGATTAAATTTCTTTTTATTAATCGCTTGTCAAGATGATTCGATGCAAACGTTTGCTTCGCTATAGAAGCATTAATATATCTATTATGGCGATAATTAATGACAGATGTGAGACAATAATTTCTTGTAGAATATGTTTCTCAAAGTACAAAAAGCGATGGCAGATAAACTAAGAAATGTAAACAAATTCCAAGCGAAAACCAAAACAAATATTTAAATACGCATATGACAAATGATCAAAGAGATAAAAATTCGACTATTAGGTTCACAAAAAACAAAAAAAAATATTTATTTTAGAGCGCAAATGAATTCCCGGGTGACACAAAAAATTAACCTGCAAAAGTTTTAAGAAAAATCAGTGTAAAATATGTTCATATAAAAAAATGTGTGTCGTAAACCGAAGAATTATGAAAACTGATTTTATTTTATTGAAAATCAGCAGCATCAAAAATGTCGAATTTGGTTTACAATGTCCATTTGTATGTGTCAGACAGTACCCATCATCAATTTATCAAACATAAAACTAATTGAAATTTATTAACCGGGGATATAACGCATGTTTTCAGAGCAAAATGTACATTGTACTAATTAAGGTCAATTAATCACGCCTATCTGAACCGTGCAAATTATTATGCAAAATATACTGCACAAGACGTTAACAGTGTTTGAGTTATGTACAGTTAGAGTGTTTCATTGTTTTTACTTTTTTAATCATTATTAAAGTTATCTTTCTTTCTGCTGTTCTCGTTTGGACACGTTTGAATTATTGTTTTATTTGAATTTTAGTTTCACAATCGCTTCAATATATTAGAATTATTGAAACATCTATTATTGTATTACTTTAGAAAAACTTTTAGTGTCAGAACACATCAACTTATCGATGTGCTATTCGAAAAGTTTAATCTTCCGACGTCCACATTTTACACTTATTTTTACCAATCAATATAATAAAAAAGTGTGGTATATTTTTCTAATTAATTTTAGAGTGCTAGTGCCATCTGTGCTAATATTTATTGACGCAAATAAACAGAAAACTCGACAGAACTTTCAGAAACTTGTTATTGGAGCAAAAATTACATACTATTCAACCACCCAAACAACTCCTGCCTACCGCCTCCAACCATCGATTGAAAATTAATTGGGCAAAAAAATTAGATTCATTGTTGAACTTCCCACAGCATGTGCTACGCAGCGACGCTCATTCTTAATTAATTAATGATGCGTTGGTGATAAATCATCGCTATTTCTGTTCCGAGTATGTAATTTATTGAACAAATTTGATAAGGTTCACGAATAAACAGCCATGATATTTTCAATATCACAACGACAATGGATGTCCACTAGGGTGGCTATACTGATTGCTCTATTGTGTGGCAGACTGCCAATGATCACCTAGGATACACCTTACAAACGGTTTTAGAAGAATATTATTAATTCTCATTTATGATGCAGTAATTTATGTGCAACTAACTGTTTTAGACAAAAATAAACAACAATATAACCTGCATGCGCTATTACATGTTTTCATATAATTTGCAATTTTAATTTTGTATTATTATTAGCCGATGTGTATCTGTATTAAAGTGAATTCCAGTGGAATAAATTGAAAATTCCTACTTATTTTCTTAGCAAATAAAGCACAACAAGCGAACATATATGAATCACAAACCACGAAATAATTTTGAACTTCTTCAGATAAAGTAATTGCTTCCATTTTCTTTGTTTATGCACTTTTAGATCCGGTAACTTTCTATAATTTTCAAATGTGGTTATTCTGTCTTGAAATTAAAAACCAACAGTCCGTTCCAAGAAAAAGAGTTTATTGACCACTCAATGAAAATTTAATTAAATGACGCTTGTCTCACTATACCATTATCCAACATAAATTGAAATTAAGCAGAATAGTCATCCATTTGTAAAATTGAACAAGCCCTAACCGTCACGATAAACTTTATGTTACCTTTTTAATTAATTTGGGCTGTGATCGATGGGGTTCCCATTTTTTTACCTTGCAATTACTAAGCGCTTTGAAAGTACATCAGCGAATATATTTAGCAACATGACGTCAAATAGTAGTAAAAATTGAGTTAATACGTTTAAAATTAGGCGAATTGTTAATTTTGATTACTAGTTTCGCAGTAGTAGTCCTTCTAAGTTTATTTGTTTACTGATAATATTCCATAATTATCACGAAACTGCACGATTCTATGAAACAATTTAAATGCGGAATGCAACAACACATAAAAACAGCAGTTTCCAAGTTTATACAGGTTGATCTCATATATTCAGCTAATTCATGGAGATAAAAAGTCAGCTATTTTGATTTAAATTAAAATAAATTAAGATCAAATAAAAAATCCATATGTTATTTTCTAGCCGGACAACTGGTTAAGTAAAACCTATGCGACACAAAATTAGAAAAATGTGAACCGAAAAAGGAAACAAAATTATGCAAAACAATGTAATAATACGATTTTTACACCAGAAAGTTGGTAAATAATTTAGCCTTGTTAAGTAATGTTCGTCTCCTGCAATTAACTGGTTGGGTTGTAAATGGTTCTTTATTTTGTGTTTTTATCAAATTCAGACCTCAAATAATGTTTGTTTTAATACAATTAAGAGAACGTATAAAATATTTATCTATGATAATCTGGCTAATCTCCAATGGATTTAACAGAATATATTCAGGCTAATTAATTAGCTATCAATATTAGCAATAATTGATATTGGACTATAATTAATGTATAATGATCTGATACCATAAAATTATCACGTGCTACTGTTTGTTTGACGCAACCGCAAACAAGTTTTATTCTTTGCTTATGCACTCTTTCTTCTGCCTAAACTTCTTCATATTTAATGAACATAAAAAATTAGAGATGTTTCATCTCAAGTTAAAGCCAAAGCAGCAAAAATAAAGTCACACTTGTCGAACTTTATAACGTGAACTGACTATAACTATTCCATGGTATCATGAACCTTAAACTTTTTATTGGATCATGATACTAGCATAAAAAGAGCAGATAACGTTTTTAGTAACTTAGACCCTTGAATGCTAACTTTTGCAAACTCTGTCTCTGGTGGAGGAAAGAAAATTTTAGAAGCTGAATCCCTGGAACACCAAATTCCAATTTAAGTATTCAGAAACTTTAGTTTTCAACCATGCCCTATGACTCATACCAAAATTGAAATTTGAACATCCACAGGTAAACGTTAATAAAAAAAATATTTCAAGAAATTTAATTTTATGTGAGGATATAAAGTTCCAAATTTTAATAGCGATTAAATGATCAAACAGAATTGAGGTTCATAGTAAAATTAACGCTGGCTTGAACATGGATATTTTGTTGCCCAGTGGCTGTAAATTAACAGTTGGAAAGTTAATTACAAAATGCTTTTAAGCCTATTCCAACATTCACCAACAATTAAAACACAAGTTGGCTCGACGATTACAATTCGTTGCAATGGGGAGCGATTATTTCCAAACAGTTATTTCCAGTTGTTTTAGCAATTAGTTCCTTTAGTTATTTAAATCTAAGAACTCCTTCCATTGTTATATATTTTTAATATTTTGTTAATTTATCGACAATGTTCCTTAAACCCTTATTCTTCACTTTTGATAGAAATTAATTTTCTGAAAATACTGATAGCTCTAATGGTGTTCGAGCTTCTCTCCTAATCGCAATTGGCCATGTTCATTGTTGTGAAAGTAAGCGAAATGCAACCAGTTGAAGCGAGTAGGTATACATTTTGAGGGCACTAAAGAGCAACTTTATTACTCGTTCTTAGTGATAATCGCGTGTAAGAAAGATCCCTTAGATGTAATGTTATTTTCGTAAATGACGCTACAAAGACTTCTGTTGATGAACTAATCGCATTTGGTTACATGTCTAAGTTTGGCTGAGCGACAATAACAATAACAGTTAGTAACTGGAACAAACTCAATTTTAATAGATACAAGTACGACACTATAAACTGTATTTAAATTGTTTATTCTACAATTTCAATTTGCCTTACGTTAGCGCTTTTAAGCTTGTAGTTTCTAATTCAATTTGCAAATTAAGTACTTCAATCAAACAAGTTTCTGTAATGACTATTTCCAACTACTTTTAGACCTTCCAGACTCTGGACCGTCCATAACGGAATAATTATGTTTCTGTTCGGGACACATGTCCGTTACGTATTATGATTTCCAAAATACGTCTATACATTTATTTAGGTCTCTATTAATTCACGATATTTCAAATGATTAGAGGAAGTAAATGAGGGAATTTCAAATGGAAAACCGGTAGCGTTCCTACATTAGGGGGTTCTTATTAAGTTTCCAGTCGTCATCACCTGGCAGCATAAATAGATACGGTCGTATTTCGCATTGAGTGACTTCAAAAGGGCTCTCAAATATACATTAAACATCATATATTCTTTGGGTTTGGTAACAAGAAATGTTTTCAATGTAATAAAAATGTGCAGCTAACGTTGTTTATTCAGGTGTATAACGATGAAGTCGTTAGCAGCCCTACTCGCAGTTTTCCTCGTATGCCATCAAGTTCATGCTTGGGGAGGACTTTTCAACAGATTTTCTCCGGAAATGCTGGCCAATATGGGCTATGGAGGACATGGAGGAGGGATGATGGTAAATGTTAGCAACTTTAATCAATATCAGGCCAAGAATATTATTATCTATATTGGTTTGCAGAGAGATGGAGACGATAACTTTTTAGAAGAGTATGTGAATGAGGCAGAGGAGGAAGGCAGGGAGCCTTGTTATGGAAAAAAATGCACGTCTAACGAACAATGTTGCCCCGGATTAGTATGCGTTGACACGGAGACATGTAAGTAATCTGAGACGGTATTAATATGTATAATTATTGATAAACCTGTAAAAAGTATAGTTTAGAATAGAATGCAAGAATTCGATTTTAATCAGTTGCCTGGAACTAAAAAATCCCATTGCAAGCATTGGAAAATAAAAGCCAAAAAAATCACATTACCAACGAAAATGGACGAGACAGTTCAATTTTCATCAAACAGTAAAATCGATGAATTTGCTGCAACAAATATTCTGCTTTTACCGGAACTAATTGGTACATTTAACGTTTTAACAAATCATACACCACTGCATTAATTTACCTTTGAAATTTCGAGCTTTGCAAACAAATTTTGATTTTCCTGGATTTCCTGGAACGAGCTGATTAGACAAAATTGCCAGTCTCCATGGGGGTTGCGCAATTTTGCCGTTTAGCACGTAACTTTGCCGACAGATTTAATCGCTAGCCTTGAATGAGAAACACGGCAACGGAATGAATTATACATCAGAATACAGCTTTTAACATCCTGGGTTTTACTTTACCAAATAACAAAATCTTGGAAATTTTAGAGAAGTTTAGCCGATTTATCTTTCTTTGTTTTCTGTCTGCTGGGTTTTCGCAACAAATTACTTTAGATCTGCAATTTTCATCACTTTCACTAATGAGGAAAATGTGAATAACAGCTTTAATGGAAATTGTTTAAAACGACACTGAACTCTAGAAATTATTATTAAAAATATGCCGTGTCCGAATTTAAATCAAATTATAATAGTAAATCTGGCTAATTTCCTTATTTCTTGATTTTTAGTTAGCAAATGAAACAGAACTTAACTCATTCAGCAACTTTCGCACTGAATAAATTAGACATGTAAAATTGCGAAGCAGAGAAGTTAAATGCTTAGAAACTTTAAATATTAGTCCTTTCAACTTTTAAATATGATTTTCTGTTCCCTCTTCTCATTTATAAGTTGATTTCACCTGATATACGCTGATATACGCTGAGCAGGGTTTTAGTTTTAAATTAGTTTCAAACTTGTTTAAATATCGACGTATTCTTGCAGTTCATTTTTGTCTTGACAAAACAGTGTTCATGTGATTTCAGTAGTTGGCTCTTGTCTCTTCGCATATGGAAGAAGAGTCGGAGAGCTTTGCATGAAAGACTCAGATTGCGAATCAGGACTAGTTTGTGCGGAAGCGGACATGGGACCTAACGCGCGAGTCTGCAGGTAAAAATAAACAATTTCCAACTAAGCTAGCAAAAAACAGTCATTTTGTTTAATTTCAGACCTCCAGTTCGTCAAGATAAGCAGTATTCTGAGCCATGTCACATGTCCAGTGAATGCGATATTTCAAGAGGTTTATGTTGCCAGCTGCAAAGACGCCATCGGCAAGCACCAAGAAAGGTACGCATTTACATATAAAAAGAGTAGGTACTTAATTTAAATAAACGGAAAACAAAAAGATGAGGAAAGGTAATTAGTAAACTAAATAAAAATCTGAGAGATCCCCAAAAGAATTGATGTTATTCTTGAAAGTGCTGAAGCTTTAAAACATCATTTATTTTTTATTTATATGACGACTACCGTTTTGGGCGTCGCCAAAGTTCTTCAAGGAAAATCTTGTTTCTTGCATTTATTTGTATCAGAAACTTTGCGAGTCAAAAATTTGTTTGATAATAGACAAAAATGTAGTTTCTGTAAAGATATCTATTCTGAGTTCACCGATTATAATCTGATCCTTAAGCCTAGTTTTCTTATAAAATGTATAATAACCTTTTAAACTGAGTTCTTAATATTTATAAATTGTTCCCCTGAGCACCAAACTACCGCTATTACTGTCAAACAAAACAGATAAACAGGGAACAACATGAACTTCTTATTTATCTCAACATTCCCGCGCCATTTTCTCAAGAAATTCATATGAGTTTTATGGCAAATTTACCACATTATTCCATTTCCTTGTCCTTCAGCGCAAGCATGAAAGCAAATCAGTTGCTTTTTCTTATTTTCGTAAGGCCCTCATGTGCCGAAATGACTTTGATGAGTCAAGTTATTATGAATAAAAATAATTGTTTATTAGCACATTGCATGAATATTACTGCGCATCTTATTATACTAGGGATTTTCTCAATTTTTGTTCAATAAATGCGTGCCAAGATTGATTATATAATTGGGAAAAGGCCAGATATAAATCTTTACTTTGTTATAAACTATTTAAACGTTCCAAAATCCGTCCACATGGTTCATCTTTTCCAAAAAAAACATCTTCAACCGACTTATGACTCAGAAAAGATTGTTTTCAGTAAAATTTCAGGACAAGTTTCTTCCTAGGATTCAATTTTTGACTTCTTAGTCGTAGATCAGTATTTTTTCTATTGGTTTAAGTTATAGATCGAAATGACTTCACAGGATGCCAACTTTGAAATTATCCGAACTTAGTTACATACAGAAATCTTACGATTTTGTATATCTGTAACTGTGAACATGTATAATATATGAAACATGTTTTAACCTAGGGTTTATCAGCATTTTAATATAATACATTTTCAGATATAATTTATAAAAGTTAAATTTATGAGTAAGTATTTAAAGTTCAAAATAAACTGTTTTACTTTGCAAAATTCGTAACTCTCTTTGCAGGTAATTTTTTAGCAATTTCGTGAAATATTTGGAGAAGGCAGTAAAAATTAATTTAAAAATAATAGCATCAATGCCAAAATTGGATTTTTAATGTGGCTTCTATTTAACGGTTTAAGAACTACACCACATAATCCTCAAAATAGGAAAATAGCGTAAAAGAGCCGAAAAGCGTGACCTGTTGTTCATTAAATTGAGACCAGTTAGTTTAGATTTAAAATCAGTGCAACTCATTGTAACACAAAATATAAATCTAAATTATTTTCATCAAATTTATAAAAATATTTTAATCATTATAACATTATTTAGTTATTATAACAGCTAATTCCGCAATTTTTCAGGTCTGTTCCTATTTCAAAGACCCTCTGGTCTGCATTGGACCAGTTGCAACTGATCAAATTAAAAACGCTATTGAGCACACCGCCGGAGAAAAACGAATCACTGGATTGGCTTTTAAAAGACCCATAATGCATTAGATGGCCAATTCTGAACCTACCAAGTAATTAGTTTAGTTGATGATTACCAAAACATGATTAACTTCTAAATCTACATGTTCAGTGTTTATGGATTCTTCTCGGTGTTCAATGTAAAACTGGCTAAATGTATGTTGCAAAGACTCTTGATGTTTTCAGTTCGGTTCTGACATTGTTAACTGCTAACAGAGCCGAACTTCGAAATTTTATTCGAGCGCGATGTATATTTAGCCGAGCATAAGTTAAATCTGAAACAAGTGTTTGGTTTTAAGCTAGTATTAACATGTGCTGGCTGAAAATCAATAGAAAAGTAACATTGAATATATATTCTTTAAAATTGTACTTAAGCTAGATCTGTGTAAAGCTCTTATATTAACTATGTAAGGAACCATTAACATGGCTGAGGCACTTATACTGATATTATCCACTACTTAGTTAAGGTAGCTTTAAGATAATCTGGCCTAGAATTATAGGCGTTAAAACATAGAATTCTATCTTCCTACCGGTCGAAAAATATAAATATATTATATATTAAATATTACAATAGGAAGCAAAGTATTCAAGTAGATGTAGGCTATTTCATAGGACTTTAAGTCAAGGTCTCCTACATTCTGTGTACCAAAAGCAAAAATCAAAATTTCACTATTTGTCGTGTCTTTTTGGTGTACGGAATTGCAACTAGATGTTTACTTGAAAAAATCTACCGTCTTACTGTGATGTTTGAAGATGCGCTTTTGCAAATTGCAAAGGAACATTCCCTAATAAAACCTGGCAGAAACCATAGACAAAGCACAACTCTAATTAAATATTTCCAGTAGAACTGGCAACCATAGACACTATTTTGGAATAGTTCTTTTCTAAAGACGGAAAGTATTTTTGCAAAGAGCCGCATGCATAGCTGGAAACTGACATCCCCTTTTAAGCTTTAAAATTAAAAAGGGAAATTTAATTAATACATATCACAAGATACATATCATTACTGTTAATTATACTCTAACTGTAATTCAGTCTATTGATGTTATATTATTGTAAACAGTTATTTAAAATAAATGTCTACAGCAAGTAATATCAAAGCTTTGTTTTCATCATGCAACAGGAAACAGTTACCATCCATTATTCCATTCCTCACCATTCAGGGGTTTAGAAGAAGTGTAGATTAAGAAAAAAATTCAAAGAAATTCCATATTCGGTGTATTCCGAATAGTCATATTTTTTACATTGTTATTCCGATTATTACAATGTTTATCTTGCAACAATATTGCTAACTGACTTTCAGTTATGAATTGAGAGTGAGCAAAAATTTATTGACTAAGCTAAACTAGCTTCGAAGATAACAGAAAGAAACCTTTGGAAGCAGCTGCGAAGTTCCATTAAATTGGTAATGATGTTTCCAATCATCAAGAAATCAAATGGATTACATGAACTTCAGTATAGTTTCGTAGAAGAAACGACAATATTAAAAATAGGTAACAGTCGTGATCTATGAAGTCAGAAAAAATTATAACCGAACACTAAAGCAGAAGCAATGACTTATGATATTACATAACATGAAAAAAGTTTGGTAGTTTAAAAATTCTTGCTAACATGAATCCAAAGAAATTCTAAAAACGATAAATTTTAGAACATGAATGTAAATTTTATTTAAATAAATCTAATAAATATGGATTACATGAACTTCAGTATAGTTTCGTAGAAGAAACGACAATATTAAAAATAGGTAACAGTCGTGATCTATGAAGAGTCAGAAAAAATTATAACCCAACACTAAAGCAGGAGCAATGACTTATGATATTACATAACATGAAAAAACTTTGGTAGTTTAAAAATTCTTGCTAACATGAACCCAAAGAAAGTCTCAAAACGATAAATTTCAGAACATGAATGTAAATTTTATTTAAATAAATCTAATAAATATTGCATTTAAAATTTCCTTGAACAGGTAAACGGAGAACATTGCTGCGTTCAAGGTTTAGGAAGAAATAGTATTTTGCAATATGCAAATATTAATTTGTTGTATGATATTTTTTAAAGATTGTAGTTTATTTTTTAATATTGTCTTGGCAATTTGTTTCGCTTATGCTTTAAATTAAATATTCTTAGTACTGCATAAAATAGCAACGATATATAGTGTAAGAATAAGGCACCTAAGATAATTGATAAATTATATCAAAGGAATTTAAACAATAAGCGAAAGCAAAATGCGTATAAAGCTTCGTTACGGATACACAAGCTGATGCAATCGATAATTTTTGGGGTTTTTTGTAACAAAAATTCAAGCAGAGCATTTGCGGAATCTCGTTGTATTTTCCAGGCGAAAAATAGTTTTCTCAATAGTTCAAGCATCTGAAATATTGCCATTCGAAAAATTAAGTATATCTGAAAAGCCGCTAAGTTTCCAACCGGTAGATCGCATTAGGAAACACACTTCTGATAAAAAAAAGATTCAAGTATCAGCTTAGAATTAACTGGTCAACTTAACTATGTCTTGAAATCACTTCCACTATTCAAGAATCAATGATTGATTAACTGAAGAACTAGAGCCACTACAAAGGCAAGATGATGTATTTTGTAAAGTAGTAATCTTACCATAAAAATTCTGCAATAACGAAATTACCGTGCAATTACCTGGTATCCTTGCATGTAATGGTGGGTGAGGTCGAATCACTGTAGGCGTTTTATTAAGAGCAAGCGAATAAAAGTATCTAGCGTATCTGGGAAAATTTCAATACCTTTCTGATATTCTGGGAAAACATATGTGATAAATCCTTTTCGTTCGTTGAACAATCTGTATCCATGTCGTTTCATAGTTTAGGCAAAGACATTAGGTATCATAGGAGCTTTTTACCACATAGAAAATAACAGAAAACGAATTGGCTCAAAGAATTTTTCATCAAATTCATATCGGTGAACCGCTTCCGGTCTCATTGCTGCTGCGGTAAATAAATTGCATGCTGTCTGCAAATTTCGTTGGTACAAAGGATCTGACAACAACATATTCGTTGCTTTGAAAAATCGTTTGCAATGTGAATTAAGTCCAAAGGCTTTTCAGAAAAATACATACACATTCAATAGAATGTGAACGAAAAAAACCCCTTGGTAACAGATTTTTTAATCGATTTGCATGGTAAAAGTACAAACCATACACATACATATTATAGACATATAGATACGGTCGGTATAAAAAATTAGGCGTTCACTGTTACACAGACCAGCTATTTCATGGTCAAGCATTATGCTTGGATTTCTTAAGAAGGAATTTTTATAAAACATCGTCTCAGATTATTTACATGTCATTGTTATTCTAGTGGGATTTATGTAATTGTAGCACTGTTCTGTTCTGATTACTTGGTTTTGCACTATAGAAGTAGATTTGTATTAGAGCGCTACTGTTTTCACAATTGAGATGACCATAGCTGATTCTTTTATACTTTTTAATTAATTTATTTCGTTAGTATTTTACTTTACTTTTGTAGTTTCAGGTGAAACTAATTTCTAGGCAACGCAGGATGCGGTTAAAGCATAATCAACAACCAATAGATAAATTCGCACAAAAGCTAATGTTTGAGTTAAATGGAAAAACTCCGGATGCGAAAGAAGTTGAAGAAAAAATTGGCAAAATTGTTTTTGGCCATAAATCATACCACCTTTCTGAAATAAAGCTGTAGCTTGATTGTTAAAAATTGTAGTTGTTTTTCTGGATTTTCCAAAATAACTTCAATTCCGAAGATGCAAAGGAATCAAAGTTAAAGCACTGTTCATCTTTTAAAACGGTTAAGAGGAGAAAGTATACAGAAATTACATTTAGCAATGGAGACAAAGTTCTCAGTTTTGCTAAATTTGCTCCAAAGTTAGTGAAAGAACCCGAACCGATGCGGGGAAGGTTTTTCTTTAACACAATCAACAAGATTTAGCCCCAAATTAAAAGTTGGTTATTCGCTTTTTCTAAACTTGGAAAGATGATCGTGAATAGCCTATTGATAGGTTTGGATAGTGATAGATACGTAAAGCATTCATTTTTTAAGTTGAAAAATGTTTTAAACTGAAATTGCTGATTCAGGTTGGTTTTATAACTATGTTATATACTTAAGTGGAACCAAGTAAATTGTCAATTACTTTTCGGTATTTGACCTTTAACGCAAATATAATCAATGTTCTTGCAATCTTGAGGCCTAAATCAGTCAACTGAGCTGGTATCTTAGACAAATAATACAGTGTCCATTTCCGCAAGTTAAAAATTCTCGATGTGCATGGCCATGAGCCAGAAAGTGATACTTTTATGCAACGCAAGCATTGACATTCCATCGTAAAATCGTGTTACCTAACAATCTCTCATCTCTTGTTATATTTTTGTAGTTATTGCTCTTACTACTTTGATAAGAACTCAAATTATTTTTGCGCTAGAAAATCTGACTACCCAAGGCTATAACATTCCTGTCGTTTACAATACAAAAAATGCTCGTAGGTACAATTAAAGGATCTAAAATTTCAAGGCAAAGAAATTAAAATTTGTTCGACTTTTCACTACTAAGTAGGTACTAAATAGAAAACTATGGAAAAACCCAAATTTGTTTAATCGAGTTTTGATGCTTAAAAGCCCCTTAGGTCACTTATAACTTCTTGCAAGTTTTCAAGAGGCGAGATAATGAGAAATTTTTTGAAACAGGTCCCATACACTTATAATAATCAAGAAGCTACCAAAAGTGTGTCGTACAAGAACCGCAATATGTTTTTTGCAAGTTATATACCTAAAATGGCGTACTGAGCAACAGGAAATGTGAATTGTTCCTACTCTTGTTCATTTTGCAAGTTTAAACCATGAACGGATTAGAGTTTACAAAAATTGCACGAAGAAATTCTAATTTTTAAGAACATATGCAATTTTCATCGTAAAAATTAAAAAATTCTGGAAAATTTCCAATTCATAGTCAAGCGAGTAATACACGCTATTTACAATTCAATATCAAACAGCGGACAATTCAGTTGAAGTTTGTTACCAAGGCAGTTTGTTACCAAATAATCAAAAATGTATATTTTACATAAAAGTTGATTTCATTATTGAAATGTGGCGACTCTAATAAAAATGTATCAACATTTTTGCAGAATATGGAACAACAGAGTGCCTTAAGAATGTAAATGCTTTGCTTCACATGGCCATTTTTAGTTACTTATGTGACAATAAGCAAAATACAAAAAAAAATATGCTGAAGTTTTTACAGTTTTCCTTCATTTGTTTGGTTGTTTAAAATCAGCATTAAAATTGCTACACTCTTGCTAATTAACCGGCTCTCGGCTCAAAAATAGCGCCAATGATGAGCTCGAATTTGGGTTTTCCTGCATAGTACAAGTTTATCTTTCTTAACATTAAGATATAAGATATATACCGGTTAATGAAAACTTTCGGTAAAATATGTTAAATCGTTCTTTTTGGTAATTTTCGATCATGATTGTGTCAATTGAAAATGTATTTCACTGCGGAATTTGACGCTTCTATGCAATCGGAAGCAGAAAAATGAGTTAATGAAGAAACGGAAAAATGTATTGGGCCAAGATTCAAACTTGTAATTTAAAACAGAACAGAAACAGAGAATTAATGAATCTAGAATAATTTTGCTATAAAATAAGATAAGATAAAAATTCACATTTTTTTACTCTGAGCCAGCTAAATTTAGACATTATATGGATCAATTATATTTAGCTCAAAGCTATAAATTAATTATTATTTAAAGTTAAACGATTTAAGTTGAAATATTATAGCCAAGAATCCCAATACGCAATTAAGCAACGATTTGTACCTTTATCTACGCATTAAAAAAGAATCATAAATCAAATCTGGCCTATTCTAAGGATATCATGCAGACAAGAACACTTGAACTTTATTTCACGTGTAATGTGTATAATTACCATATGTATTGGTAAAGTTATATTTGTATTTTTTACTTTATGCCAGTCTCAATGCATATTAATTAATGTCTGGTCAATAAGGTAATTCATTTGATATTTAAGTGTTAATATTAACCGACTTCATCAAGAGAATTATTTGGTGCGAACAACTTAATTAGGGAAATAGCAAATTTATTTTTTATATTATCGTTTTATCAGACATTTATTTCAATGATCAAAGGGTCGTTTTGTATACACACCCATTTCAACCATGGATTAATTGTGTTAAAGTTCAGGGTAAGTTTTCCTCGGTTTCGTATGCCAAACGTGAGGAAGAAATTATTTTTCTCAACGACTTAAACCTCGAAACCATCACTTTTGTCTAGCAAAAGCTTCACTATTTTGATTCAATTTTAAATATTTTTAAGTGAAATAGAAAATTGGTTGTCGAATAATATGTAGTAAATTCGAAACAAATTGCACTGAGGGTACAAACTTTTTTGAATGGTTTTCTCCATTTTAACTTCTCATTTCAAGACACTTAATGACTGTGTTATTATGTTAGTTATGAATTTATTGTTAGATTTTCTACTCCTAATAAAAATGGAGGATAAATCTCACAGAAACGAAATCCGCAGGTGATAATTAAAAATAAAACCTAAAGGCATTAAGCAAAATAAAATTAATACCCGCAAATATTTATAAAACCCATTGCTGATACTTAAGGACATAAAGAATGAGAAATAAATGCGCAAGTTTCTGATCGGCGTTATTTAGCTGCTACGAAATTTAAAGATTTATTACATGTTTTGTTAATATCGGCTTCCAACTGATTTCGTATAATTATTAATACAATAATTGTACGAGTTGAGTCAAGTGAGCAGACATTGGGTTAAAATGTAATTTCGTCGCATACGCGCTTCTACTTTAAAGGTGTAATGACACGCCCTGAATGATTGGCAAATTTGCAAGAATTCTTAACTAAGCAATAAATTAACTGATTGCCCTCGAATTGACGTTTGGTGGCAGTAAAATTTAGAAAGCCCAGTGTCCTCAACCTGATCTTGAAAGCAAAAATATATGCGCTGGACATTGTGCAACCTTTCGAAAAGGATGGGCCCGATAAGTATATGCGCTAAATGCATTAAATTCTGCAGTAAATGCACTTGAAATCAGAAAATATTGTAAAACTGGACGCCCACTCGTGGTGCTATAAGCATGACCTTTCAAAGAACATAAAAAATGTTTATATGCCATTTAAATGTTGAGGCTTAATCCGTCTACAAGTACAAATTGTCAAAAGATTTAACACGCAAGTTGGTTTTCATCGTGGTCAATTGTTTCTTGCAAAAACTCTACAAATTGTCGCATTCTCGATGGAAATATCAAGGCTGAGAGACCATGACTGAGTATAGATCGCGCCCATTTAGCAGTACCACCCAACAATGTAAGGGCGTTGGCAATTTTCGCTTCTTGAGATAACCTTTCCGGCTTTTGCGAGAAAGAATTACAAATGAAATTCGCCGAACTTCATGACCTGCTTTTACAAAACGAAATGGATCATTTTCTGCATTGTCTATTCAACAAGCTTTACGAACTATTTTCCCCAAGCAACCAGATAGGCGAGTACATTTTCACAGAAGAACTATTTTAAAAGCAAATGTTGCCTCATCAACTTTCTTTCCATGGCTAATATTTAAAAACTTCCTAGCTGTAAGACGTTTATATAAGATTAATGGATGTTAAAAGAACATTATATTCCGACTGGTTACAGCTATTCTCAACCAGACCATTAATCAAAAACGAATGTAGAAACTGGTTCGATTGTTCCAGCTGGAGTGTGAATATTGCATATCAACTTACTTTTGTACTAACTAAGGTAACTTTGTCCCTGAATAAGCCTTAAATTTAATTAAAGGCATTTGATGCGAAAGTTTTAAAAAATTAGATGAGATTGTGTTTCAAAGTACATCTCTCATATCCCCATAAAACAGTATTGTTGAATTGAAAAATTGAAATTGATTAAATTGAATTGATTGATTGAAACATCTAAAAACATTTCCGGATTCAAATCCCCGCGAAATAATTTAGAGATATTAAATGATTTTTTGTTATCCTTACTTGTCCCCTAAAATTGTGCTTATTTCCCGATCTAYTATTGAAAAAAACGTGCATTCGTCAGAAAGCAAAATTTGTTGTTATGAAACAGGTTGTTGTTGTTTGTAATTTTATCCAAAAACCSGCATACAAAATTCAATGCGRATTTTAAAATCACAGTAGCCTTTTTTCTACAAAATGTGTAAGAGAATTGTTTGAATTAGTTTTTTTTGTGACTTCTAGCAAGTTTTGTGTGGTCGMATTTCCTCTGCCAGGACAAGTTCTTCTGAAAGGTTTTCCAGGTGCAAGATTCACTTAGTTTGGYTAAATTGCGCTAAAAGTATTCAGAAGACGRATTTTTCTAGCCACGGTTTCTAGAAGGAATTTCTAGTATTCGGACTGGCAAGWTATAGGAAACTATAATAKCATCCAATAGATAACAACATTTTTCATGTCCTTTGCATAAAATACAGGGACTCCAATTAAATAAAGCGACTTATTACCGTTMAAAACGTGTGTTCACATTTTGCSACGTGGTATGTGGTATGTGTGTCTAAATGTTTAGTCTTAAGTCTGYTTCTGTTAATAGCCCTAAAATAATAAAATATGAATCTGAAATTCTAAATGAATGGTGAGAAATAGCTTTAAAAATGTTGTCATTTTTATGAAGGGACAAATATGTACTAAATATAATTCCAAATCAAAATCAATTCCTGGGCTTCAGTCATTTATCAATTAAAATACGTTTCGGTGTTTTCCACCATCATCAGTTTCTATGTGTAGCGTTGTTGCTACTTTAAGCCTTAATGCCAAGGCTTAAAGTATGTACTAAATATAATATGTATAAAGACTGTAAACGTTTTGCAAGCCAAGTGCAAGTAAAACTAACATTTATTTAAAAAAAGACAACTTAGTAATTGTGACACTCTATAAATTGCAGAATAATTCTAAAATGTACCCTATGTAAGTCTCAATTTTTCCTTAAAATAACTGTCTTAAAAAATGAAATAGTTTTAGCAGCAATTTTCCGATATAGCTTGAGATTGTAGWTTCCTCATGGAAAACGAGAGCCGTCCAGCCGTCTCCTAYAGKTTTTTTTCCTTTAACTTATACGCCACTGGAGAATTATTTTGACATCAAATACTGAAGTTCCAATGATTTTTTTGTACTAAATGAGTTCTTTTTTATTGCTCTACGGTAAACCGTTTTGGAGAAAAAAAACCTTCTGCTAACAATTCCTTAAAATCTGCACCAGCACCAATGGCAACAAAAATTAAGTCTTGGCACTCTGTATCTCGAAAACGAAAGCACGGACGGGAAAATGGAGGAGGAAGAAATAGTTGCTTTCTTCTTGAGGAATTCATAGCTTTCTACTGTGACACTTATTTAGGTTTACTCTGTATATTTCAATGTAAATTTTAAGCGAATTTCACTGGAAAACGCAGAATGAAGAGTAGTACTTTTTGACATGATACTCCACATTTTCACAATTTCTGTGCAATTAGCCATTTAAAACCATTAAAACAATGATCCAGAAGAAAATGAGAGTTTGTTTTTGTATTTTTCAAAAGTAAATTAAAGCTCTCCTAAAATCCACTATCCTAAAATCGCTATCCTAAAAGTTACAACATCAGAAGTGTATGAAAATGTAGTTGAAAAACGTATGGTTAAAAAAATCTGTAAAAATACTGGACACCCAAATTTGGTTTCTTACGCTATTTGAGCTCAGCGAGATAGATGGAGGTATTTTTGGGTCCAAAATTTCAAAATTGGGCAATACCTAAGGTTCAAATTGCGTGTGAGGGCACATTTTTGCAGTCAGTATAAGCATTCCTTATTGATAAAGCACATCAAAAACTTTGAAAGCCCAAACTTTAAAAAATTTCACCACCTACCTTTAAGCTGTCCATTACTGTCCCAGATGATCCATTTCCATAGTAAGAGCCATCCCTCAACCAGAAATCACTTCAAATGAGCACATTAATGTAAATCAATTTTAGGTCAGGTGATCGCACTAGCATAAAGGCAATGCAAAAAAAAATCTGTTTAAAAAAAATATATTTTTTCCGACACACTACCGACCAGGCAAACTCCACTATACAATAAAATAAAACTTTGTTTTTCAGTAAAGCAGCAAATTCCTAATTTACATTCACAAAATCATGCCTATTGACAATGTTTTGATGAAGCCAACTTGTAGCTTATACACTATTAAACACACCAACGCACACACACTCATGACATGTTGAGACTTGCCGCAGTTTTGAATAATTTTCACTCGATAAACAAGGCAAATTGAACATTGTTTACACGATATTTTAGCTTAAAATCGTCCTGGAATGTGTTAGTCATGAG